ATTTCTTTTCCTTCAGTGGACTGTCAATAGGCAGCACCAAGACAAAAAAGACATGGTGCAGAAGAAATCCTGCAAGGCATTAAGGCATAGGAACGGGAACAATCATGGCTTCTGAAAAGCAAAGAGGCAGTATTTAAAAGCCTGCTTTCATTGTTCGTTATTCAGCCCGAGTATGACAGTGGTGCTCTGAACACCGTGACATTAAGTCCTTTGCCTCCTTGAAAGTGTGTTGCTTTGTCTGCTGTGTAAGTCAGGCATATCAATTCAGAGCAACAAGAAATTTAAACCTGCCTTTTAGGGAGAAATCTGAAGTATAAGGGCTTGGACCAACTCCACAGCTCTTGCGTTCAGTAAGAGTTTTGTCATTTAGGTTGACGTCTCCTAAAAATGGCAAAAACTCACTCTTTTTTCCTAGTTTATATTGCTTATTGGACAGTATTTAACAGGTTCTCACTAACCAAGATGACTGTGCTTGGACACACTTGCAGGGACAGGCCTACAGCTAAGAGGTAACTGCACATCTCACTTGGCACAGTGACAGAAACAGGAAGCCACTTTAGCCAGCAATACAGGGCCTGTGCCACTGGAGATAACCAGAACGAATGAGACCCCATCGCAAATGCTTTCATCTATTCTGCCAACTCAGCCTGGATTCTCAAGGACGTGGCAAACCCTTGCACAGCTGCAGGCTCTCTGAAGCAAGCATATGTTTGTCTAGCGTCCAGCACAACGCGACCCAAACGTTAATTACAGCACCTCTTGGCTTTAAAGTTTTGCAGAGTCTTTGAGTTCTTTCCTTTCTTCCTGTGCCTTTCCCATAGCCAGCTCTATGGAAGAAGAGGCAGAGTCTTAAGCTGAAAGGGAACTGGTAATGTGACTTGGGAGAGAACAAGAAATCCTTCCTAAACTCCAAAAGAAACAACAGGGTCACTTAGACTCCTGGGAATCTAAGGGAGGGAAGCAGGGCATGCGAGCTAAGGCACTTCAGAGAGGGAGGAGCTACTTACAGAGTAACTGGAAGCATGGGAAGACTAAGGAAGAGCTGTAGACATGTTCATCTGTTCGCAAATTTTATAAGTTTACAAGCAAGGTGAGTTGTTTTGATGCTCTGCAAAATCAAAGACATGGCAGATCCAGGAGAAGGCTTACCAAGGCCATTAGTGATAAATAAGCATAAGATATGAAGTGACCAGCAACAGCAGATCAGTTTAAGTAGAAGGGATAAAAGAACAGGCAGAACAAGAATTCGCATTAAGAATCAAAGTAAGGAAGAAGTCCAAACTGTTGAAAAATATACTTGTTCTGAAAAAAATCCTGCAGCCACATAGGTCACCAGTGGCTTACCCTCTCTATTTTCAAGTTCTAAGGTGCAATAATTTTAGTATAGTGGTTAGATTTCTCAGGGCAGCAGATGGACCACATTTCAGTTTCAACTAAGTTTTAAGTGTAGAGCAATGCTAGAGCTCATCTGTGGTACAACTCTGCAAAAACACAAAGAAAGCCACCAAACAAAACCCCACCTCACCTAGACAAGGTTTTCATAATGACACTCAAGTTTGATTTGGAAAAAAAAATTAGTAAGACCAGTTATATTTCTGACTGCCTAAGCTGAAGTTTAAATACTGGTTTGTCCTAAGCAGGCAGGCAAACCAGGAAAAAACTTGAGGAGAAACACTGCATTAAGTCCTGAAGGCACCTAACATGTTCCCACTCTTCGTGGGAATCGTCAACTAAACCCCTGTTTTAGTTTAGACTGGTTCCACCTGTAATGACAGTCTAGTTGATACAGAGATAAAGGGTCACTCATTAATAGCATAAGGGACAGAAGTCAAAGGTCTGGCATTTTTTTCTTTCATCTTTTAAATGCTAGAATTACAGCATTTACATCAAGTGCATCTTGAGCTTTCCCAGCATACTCTGTTGTTTTCTATCCCTTTAGCAAGCCACATGCTGTTATACTGCACACACCCAGAGAAACTTTGGGATGTCTTCTCCAAATATTAAGCAGTTTTAGATCATACTGAACAATAACAACTCAAAAGTTTAAATAAACACCTAGTAAAGACTACAGCACATGGGGTAGATAGAGAATAATTAAATTATTCTCCAAGTTTAACATCTATATTAGGCAACCTTACTGAAGTAGCTTTCTTTTGCAATAAACTCCCATCTAATATTATGGGAATCATAACTGGACTGGTAAGTTACACTTTCAAGAGATCATAGATGTGAACCTTACTGGTAGGAGACCACGTGGGTCACTGAATCTCACAGCTGCTGCTTCTTGCTTGATTGTCACTAAGAGATATTGCTGTACGAGAGCGCCAACCAGAAGAGATGACAGACAATGAAAGCTACCTCAGACTTCATGCGGTGATTAAAGTTACACAGAAAGTGACCACCATTACTCTTGATCTTTAGCCCTGTGTTGCAGACAGAAATATTAAACATCTCAGATGTGCAGAGAGGGTTCAGCCTCCTGACTGAGAAGTGAGACCTGCTTCTTTTAGTTGGTTACTCGTTTCTAGGTGTTTGACATCTTAGTGTGGTATATCTGAATCACTGTGAACTTAATTGTGTCTCCTTAACTCCTCTATATTATATCATGTTTTCATAATCTCTTCAATTTCTGTGTACTGTAGTAGGTGCTTAACATTGTATTCCACCTCTACTTCAACTATTTTCTTCTGAAAGCAGGTATTCTCCATTTCTTCATGATGACCAGAGTCCTCTGCCTAAAAAAATATTATAGCTTTTCCTGGGGGCAAGCGACCATGTTAGCCATAACACCAGAGTGCGAATAAATTAGAGGGGTTCAAATTCTTAAAGACCTCATAAAAACAGAATTGTTCTGAAGAAGCTGAGAGTACAATTTGGCATGGCTCTTCAAACCCTTCCACTTGACAAGGCATAACACCAGTTACATCCAGGCAGCAGTACATATGTAAATCTGCACTGTAAACTAAAACTGGTAACTTCCACACAAATTACACTTTATCAGCAAAAATACTGTATAAAGAAGTGTCGAACAGCTTCCATCTCTTGCTGGAATTGTTACTTATCTATACTGCGCAATTACAGAAGAGGAACCAGAGCAATAAGAAATTATACCATTTCACTCACAATATACGGTTACCTGAAAAGCAGAAACCATGAGCTCACTTCTGTGAGCACTCTGAAGTGCTAGACTCTTATTCTGAAGGCTGTGGTTTTTATACTCTGCCAAGTGACTCTAAAGATGCAAAGAGGGAGGATTCTCTACTTTATTACATCTAGTCAGGATTTGTTTCAAGAATCCATTAGAGTTTTGGTGCTGATTAATTAAATTTCTTAACTTTCTGTAATTAAGTCCTAATCTATGTACCATCTACCGCATGGTACAAAATGCTGCTATCCAAACCAACTGGATCTCATCAGGTCTGCAGTACATTAAAGTTGTATTCCACCAGTTTCTGGCATAGTAGCTTGAAAGAAAAACCTGGAAGAATTCCAAATACTTCTACAATTTCAAAATAATAATAAAAAAAGAAACCCCTCTGGTTCTCCTGAGACCTTTTGAGCTACTTAATACAGTACATGGATGCTAAAATTGTGCCTGCATCCAAGTCACAGAAACACTGTACACCCAAAAACAATGCAGCCCCAACTTTCTCGATACTCTATTCATATGTACTTTGGGGTTGAGGGAAAAGAGAGGAAAGAGGGAGAGTTCTACATCTGGCTTACATCAAACTATCAGATATTCAGTCAGTACTTACACATCCATGTGGTGGCCAGCACTCTGCAACCCATCCCCCATCTCCTTTTCTATTGCACTCCACTCACTGTAGGAAAAACAAATGAGAAACAACATCACACATGAAGGGTAAGGGAAGTTAATAAGCTGCATCCTGTATATAGTTTCTTTCCAGGTGACACCTGAATAGAAATTGCCTTGAAGTTACGACTTGGCCAAACTGTTTTCTTCCTCTGAGCAGCAACACTGACAACGTGGCAATGCTATTTATGGCACTCTGTTCAACAACTGTCCCCGTCACCTAAACTCATCCTCACAAATATACTTAGTCTGGGACTGTTTTTTTAAAAAAATTGTGTTGGTTTTTTTTTTTTTTAAACTCAATTTAAACAAACAAACAAACAAAAGATACTAGCACTTAAAATAAATGGCAGAGGGCAGGGGAAGATGGAACTTTCTAAAACAGAATTTGATCCAACGTGCTCACCAAGAAGAAACTAAGCTTTCCAGACTTGCAACACATCAGATAGAAGCCTCACTCCAAAAATCATACGGTGGGATTTGACATTTGCAAGCATTTTACTGCTCCTGAAACCGTTTGCTGTATGTTGTTTTCTGTTTTCATAGTAGACTGCTGTTTAGTTCTATTAATTAAAAAAAATACCAACTTATAACCTTCTCGTTACTGTAACTACCTATTCATATTAGGGAGATCATTTAGATAAAGAAGTAAAGAGAGCTACAACAGAAAGATAGCAAGAGACTTGTTCTGGACATCCAAGTACGTACACTGCAATTTTAATTGTGTTCTCAGCTTTGTGAAACCTTCTGAGATTTCTTAGTTACAGGAATTACATCCAGAACTCTCTTTACAAGAAAAAAAGGAAGGGGTCCCCTTATATTTCACATAAATTATGTCTAACACACCTATTCTGTCCTTCACTTTTTCCTAAATATTCCACTCCGCTGATGTTGACATTTGTTTGTCTTTGTGTTATTACAGAACTACACCTAATTTCACTTTAAAACCCCTAATGAGAAAGACATCTGCAATCCATTAACTCAGAGAATTAAATTTAGCACTTGAACAGTGTGTAGAAGCAGGAGGTTTCCCTTAACCAGAAGTTTAGATTCTTTAATTCTCCAGTGAGATGGAAAACTTGAGCATGCAATTCACTCATATAAATCAAACTACGATTGGCAAATTCACTTTAAAAAGGTACTAAAACTGGATACAGTTGTTGATTTTTAACCCTGAAAAGGACCTAGAAGCTTTTCAGAGACAACTGCATGAAAATACGTGTAAGTTACTGAAGAAACAGAATGCCAATATAAAAACAAAAGCTCCAAAGCTCTGGAACACAAAACAAAAAGCTGAAGTCTTCCACTTCAGACTAAGCTTAGCAGATTTGGAGACCACTATATCCAACACAGAAATCTCATTAGAGCTACAATACAAAGTTTTTCAAGGCAGGTATTTAAATGTTTTATGATGTACTGTTCAGAACCCTAACAACATAACCAAATTCTCTACTCTCTCTCTGTGTATATACACACACAGAACAATCCATATACATACTGAAAAAATGGATGAACTCTTACCTGAATACTCTTCCATAGTTGCCATGGACTTTATAGACACCATACAGTCGGTCTGCTACCCTCTAAAACATTATTTAGAGTCAAATTTTGGTCATCAACATTAAGTGCAATTACTTTCTGAAAACCCACACACAAACTTCAAGTTAAAGCCTGAATGTTTTTATACAGGTAAACAAGATTAGGCCTAGATCTAATCTAAGCCACTTCTGAAAGAAAAATCAACAGCATGAAGTCTTTGAAGACTGAAGACACAGTCAAGGCTGTACTGAAATTTTGAAAAATTTCGAAATTTTGACTATTTCTTTGGAAGCACCCATGTATAGGATATGCCTATGGAGATCATAAATAATCAAGTTACCTTCAGTTTTTGATAACCAGAGATAAGGCATAGCCTCCTTTACTCAAATAATGACAAACATATACAAACTTGAAACAAAAAAGACCATCCTGTCACCAAGACTGTAGGGAAAGCTTCAGCAAAATTCTAACAAGCGACTTAATTTTTCCATCCAGCTCAGTGAAACAAAGGAAAAGAAATGAGCTCTCCATTAGAGAACTTAATGCTCAAGCTAGATATGTCATTTCAGCTGTTTGGAGAGTCAGTACCTGTGGCAGCCAGCACTACGATGCTGGCGACAACCTCAGAGGAGAAGACCACATGTACACTCTGAAGTGAGACTTGTCATCCAGATAATGCCCTTGTAATTGTGATGTACCAATGAATGAGATTCAAGTTTGTTACGAATTACTGTTACTGATCTATCAAAGCAGTAAAAATGAAATGCAAGCAAATTGCCCAAAAGATCTCATGCACATACAGCCCTGAGAAAAGGGCACGGTCAGTAGAACACCAGTGATTAATCCCATCAAGAACCTCAGCTCAACAGGGCAATCCATTACTGTCCTCCAAAACCAGGTCACTGCCACACAGTTTCCACCAAAAATTAAATTCCTGTTGAAAATACTAAGAAGCAGTATCATGCTCCTCATTATTGGAATTGTAATTACCTATTTCCTTTTTGTGACTTTAAACAATCTTCCATTCTTAACCCATAGAGTATCTTGATGCACAACATAATTGAAACATCATTGAATTGATAATCATTAGAAAGAACATTATTCATTACAGATCAAAGAACAAGCCAAAAAAAAAAGTGTGCTGGGAGGCATACACAATTCATACTACAAAATCTGGAAAACAAAGTATTATATGTCTGACCAGAAAACGCTGTTTTGGGGCCCTTCCCAGCCCAGACACCCAACAAAAGCAACTTGTCTGCTGGCTGGAGAGCAGCAGATATCTCAGTGCTCTTCAGAACACCTCCCCCTAATGTGTGATCATCAGGGAAGAGGGCAGATTAGCAACATGCATGTGTTTGACAGTCATCGGAGGAGCAAATTCAACTATCACATTTGGAACTCTTCCCCCCCACCAAATCCGTACTAAGTCAGTGCCCCCCTCCTCGCCATCTCCTGCTCCACGTTCCAGAGCCTGACTCTCTCAGGCAAAACTGCCCTTATTCTAGAGCACATATACCAGTTCTCTTGATTAAACAAGAAATACTGCCTTAGAAATAAACTATACTATTTGTCACGACACACATGGGAAATACTTACAGCTCTGACTCGCAGAAGGTGTGATATGACAGACTGCAGTTCATCGCTATAGTGTTTTAGCTCAGTAAATCTCCTGGGAGCAGGAAACAGATAGTACATCATTAGCCATCACGAAAGCAAGCTTTCACAGAATGCAAGATAGAGCCACAACGCTACAGCCAGCGAGACGGAGCCTGGGTTATGCTGAGGTGGAATTAGCTGAAGACTCTTAAAGAAGTGACTGCAGAGTTTCATTTCCCTGAAGTGAACAACCCAACACTTACATAACTGTTTGTTTTTGTTGGTGTGTTTTTTTTTTTTTTAATGTAAATTGTTCTGAACCTTCATCATTTAAGAGAGAAATTTTTATGACATTTAAGTAGTTAACTGAAATTACTACATCATTGTGTTGGGGTTTGTTTTTTTTTTTTTAAAAATGGGATTTATGAAAGCAAGCATGAGTGAACATGAAAGCTTCAAATAAGTACAAAGTCAAAGTCTGATGAAGCATACACACTTCTTAATAAAAACGTGTTCACATTTTTGACCTGACAAAGACACTTTACTTTCAAGCTGCCATCTAGCCAGTTTTGAGCACAGCCTTTCCGAAGCTCACGGAAGCATTCACAATCACCACAATTCCTCTACGGCTCAGCCACATGGTAACTGTAACCAGGTACACGTGCAACTCTCCAGACCTGTCCCTGCACAGGAGTCACGCGTGGCTAAAAGCCATCAAGTCACTACAGCTTCGCAAGGTACCAGTCAGGCAACCCATCGCAAGTGACCACGTGCACGCTGCTGGCCTGCCACTACTGAAGGAAAGAGGCATCTTATCCACCACCCCAGTTAAGCCTTGGTGGTAGTTTAAGTTGATAATTGAGTTCATCCTCATGACGAAGCAGAGGCAGCTGCCACAGCTTTGCTAGTGACAGGTAACCCATTAAGCCACAGCAACAGCCACTTCTGTGTGCTTAAACCCTCCCTACTACACACAAGTCTAACTCATGACCTACTTTGGTACACAAGAATGCATTTCATCCAGCTGGGAAACCAGAAACAACTCTACCTCAATTACTAAACAATGCTCTGAAAATAAACAAACACAGAAGAACACAACCAGAGTTGAGGAATGGGAGACTAGGATTAGCCTTCCAGGTTGATGTTCAAGCATTAAAACCTTCACCCCTCCCCCCACCACAGGCACACAGTCAGGCTCTGTATTTCAGAACAGTTTGTACCGAAGAGGTCTTACTGAAATGAATCGGGACACTTGTTTTGGGTGACCAAGTCTGAAATTCCAGGCTTTTTCATTTAACACCTCTTCTTCCTCTGCCAGGAAGTCTTCCTCTAAAATATTCTCCTCCTTACATTCAGGAAGTAAGAGCTTTATTACCATTTCTAATATTTTTGATCTCCAAGGAGCATCTTTTATAAGATTCACACACACAGGGTTAAAGTACATAAAAAGATTTAAAAGCCAGTGGAGAAACTGTACGGGAAAAATAAATATAGTCATTGATCTGCACAGTTGGGGTTTAGAGAGCAATCTTTTCAGTTTACACTTTATAAAATATGCACCAGGGCTGCATGTCGGACAGCTGCAGACACAAACAGTGAAGATATTTGAAATAATTGAACTAAAAACAAAAGATTAAAAAGCATGCCTTCAGCTCAGGAAGACTCCTCTTTCCACTCCAGAAATTTATGACAAAAAAATGTTATTTATCCTGTTTTGTGGCAAGAAAGTTTTTAGGAATGCTGTACTCCCTGAAGGCAAGAGTCTAGAACCTAAGAGGACTTTCAGTATGCTGGACTTCAGCAGCAGTACATCTTCTCCTACGCCAATTCCTTCTCCATTAAAAAAAAAATTTAAAAAAATCACCACTTCAGAACCAAGCTGTCTTCTTTTTCCTCAGAAAAACATAAATCAAAGCGATCCTATTTTTTGCCAAATATTCCATAAAGGTTGAAAATTTTAGAAATATAATATTTCAGGAAAAACTGCTTTTAAGAGACTGGTGGTGTTGCAGATCAAAGGTTTATTTCTCAAGTACTTGCTTAAGTCCTACTCATTCCTCATGTAAAAAAAAGAAAACATAATTATAAAGCAATTTCCAAACTGAGTTTGGCGAGGCACACAAAGGGATGCTTACTTCCCAGTGCACCAGTTTTACCACTCAGTAAATGAAGCAAGCCTAGCACTTTTCCCTTGATTTTACTGGTTCTGCAACATTACCAACAGTCTAGTTATTTAATTAAGCTATTAAGCAGAACTTCAGACATAAATGAAGAATAGATCAGGCCACATTTCTGTAGGAACACCACTAGGTTTCTTCTCCAAAATATTGCTTATGGTAATGGCAAAGAAGAAAATGTCATTTACAGTAGACAGTATTTCAATAGAAGTTATTTACTTTGTGCATTTTGCTCAGCAGAACTCCTCCCTACGTCCAACATGAGGGAGGGCAGTACTATTTTCCTGTTTTGTGAAGGAAGATACTACATGAACAGAACAAGCCACTTGTCTAACTAACCAGACAAAAAATGGAGGTTTTGCTTTTTTTTTTTTAATTCTGCCTTAGGAAAGGATGAGGCCAAATTAGAGAGGTCTGCAGTAGATACAAATTTATCTCCGAATATCAGAATATCACGTTTTTGTCACCATATAATTCCATCATTAAAGATATGAACTGCTTCTCACAGGAGAAGGTTTAGTTTCTAGCCTACGTTTGAACTCCTACAGCAGCAGCGTTTCAGCTTTAAAGCTCCTGACGTGGCTCCAAGCCGAAGCTGCAGCTCCACAGCACTGCAAGGCACTCCAGACTGGGAGCTGCAGCTGTCCTTCACCTGAACCCTTCCTGGCCCAGGAACCTGAAAGCCTACACTCCACACAGCAGCCAGATCTTTTGTTTCAGCGAGGTGAGCTTGCTGAACCCACTTTAGCACCCAGTGACCCAAGCGCCAGAGGTAACGCAGAGGGGTAAAGTGTCAGACTCCAGGCAGCTCACGCTACACGTGCTAGGCAGAGCAGGGCACTAATCCTCCTGTCAGAGCCACACATGCTGTACCAAATGCTCTCCCGGAATTAAAAAAAAAAAACAAAAAACAAGAAGTTATGCTCATCAGTTCTTTATTAAACTTGTATGCAAAAGTTCAATTTGGAAGCTCTGTAGCTGGCAGAATACAATAGAAAGCATGTGCTGTATCTCCTAAGTGCTGTGAAGTCTCTACGGGGAGATACACACCGAGAGACTGTTTTCCTTACAAGCCCTTCCACATGTTTTCCTTGTATTAACTCTTTTCCTGCTTTTTACCAAGCCACTTTTCATAACAGCTTTGCTTTCTGAAACATTAGTTACCTCAAAAGATAGCAGTATATTCCTCATCTCAGCCTTCACCAGTCTTGCCCATCTATGCCTACAGGCAGACTACTGGCAAAGGTTCCCTGCCATGAAAGGAGGAAAAGCTAACTCCTACCAGCCACAGACAAAGGTGGTGGAGGAGGAAGTGTTTGAACAGGGGGCCAGTTTCACCTGTAGCTACAGAAAGAACTGCTGTATTTCCATCTCATTTGTGAATGTTATCTTTTATATTAAACCCACGCTAAAAGCTTCCTTGCTGCCACAGAAGGCTGCAAAAGCAAACACAATAAAAAGGAGGGACTGCACCAATTCACAGTTAAGTCTATGAAGAGGTTCAGAAGGGGATGTACCCTCTAACGCCCTTAATACAGCACCCAGAGGTGCTAGGGAAGTACAAAGGGAGCAGACACCAGAAAGCAGTCAGGCACATGGGCTCTCCCTAGACAGCACCTCCTACTGCTGCTGTTGGACAGCAGACGAACCCAGAGGGGCACTCACACAGGTCCCGATTGCTTACAGATGGCAAACAGCAACATCTCTTGACCCCACCGCTGCACACTAATGTTTCTAACTGTTGCAGAAGCAGAAACTCTCACTCTACCCTTCTCACATCATCTAGGGTGTGATGCACCTCCCACTACATACCCTGACAATTCTGACCAGTTTTTTGATCCAGCAGATTGCTCTAGTGCCTGTCCCAGAGCTTCCTAAACTACAACAGAGCTGAGCTGACTTCTGGACTTCCAAAAGCATCTGTGAAAACTGGCAGCTTGAAGAGAACTATGAACTGCAGCACCAGGGTGTGTGCATCTAGAGTTGCACACTAGCGGATTTTTGGAAAGACCAACTATCAATCTGTATTCTGTTCATGCTTGTAAAGTTGGGGGGGTTTTCTGGTGTGCCCCCCCCCCCAACAAATATTAAGACGTTCTCATTTCTGAGTCTCCTATTTTAAGTCCCTTCCTTTTAATCTAGCTAAAATGAAAGACTCATTTTGCATAAAGCGATGGCATTTTTCTGAATGTTTCCTGCTTCTAGAAACAGGATTGATTAAACCTTTTCACGCTACCTCCTTCTTGGACTTCTGTTAAGATTTGAAGTGCAGAAAGATAATTTTTTCTTTTCTGAATTTATTCTATGGAGATAGAATATTCTGTCATCTGAAGTTATAGTTGTAACTGAAAAAGGGAAAGGGAGGGAGGAAGGATGTGGAATCTTACTTGTCTGGGTTTTTCACTCTGAATGTTGCATTAAGAGCTTTTAATCTGGAATCTGCCTGAAAAAAGGGGAAAAAAAGCTTTGTTAATTTAATGCAATTAAATTCCAGTGACAAAAAAATCTCAGCCTTCTGGAAGCACCGTTCGAAAAAAATCCTGCCTTCCTGGCGTATTTAAATCTTCAAACATTGAACAAGTTGACAGTAGCTGCCCTGCATGTCAGGATTTTTTTATTAAAAAGTCAAAAAACTAAGCTATTTTTTTGCAAACTAGGATGTAAACAGTATCTACTAAAACTAAGCTGGTATAATCCAAATCCCACAAAAATAGTCCCTTAAAATGTTACACAAAGCATGGAGTTAAGATACACAACCCTGCATTCTTTTTAGATGAAGCAATTAGGTAACATAAGACCATATGGACAAGCTATTTTATATTTTTCAAACCAAATAAAACCAGTGGTAGAGTGACCTCTATATGCTCTTTATTACTAGGAACAGTTCCCCAGTGAAATCAAAATCTTATATATGGTGTTCTCTTACTTTATGACTTGCTTTACAGAAAATATGTAATTTGTATATCAGAATAGAGCCATTTTTAATGCAATGTTCTTTTCTATAAAAAAGCACATATAAATCTCTACAGAATAAAGTTCAATACCTAATTAAAAAGGTAATTGGCTACTTTGCTTTTTGAGATGTTGGTTTACCAATGACAGCAACAGCAGTACGGAACCTCTCGGAGGAGGTTGGTTTTTTTCAGTTTAATTGAGCATTAAACTGTGCGATGGGTATTTACTCTTCGTAAGACACCAACACAGACGAGATATCCCAGTCTCATTCACAGAGCTCCCACACCACCACAACTTTTCATTTATATATGGCATTTTACATACAGCTCACTCAGGGCTCATCTATACTGCATGAAAGCTTCAACTCTGGGGAAAATGGCTGGGGTTTACTTTTGAACAAAACATCCCTCTTTTCAGTGAATGAAAAATAAACAAACGCATCTTGCGAGGTGTATGTATTTCCTACAGTGTACTCTTCCAGCTAACAGACTGTGCCACAACTGCTAGGAGCAAGTTACTTCAGCAGTATTTGTTAGTGCTGGTAGATGAATATTTTGTGCACTGTTACAGCCAGCCTAGAGCTTGAAGACCTATTTTGAATTTGACAGGGAATGGAACACAGTGTTTTCCCAAACCAAGAACAGTCCTTCCTTTAGCACCCTCGCAGTAACTTCTACAGATGAGATGGGCACAGTTTGAAACTGTTCCACCTCCCGCTGCACTGGGGCCAAACAGAAGAAACTCATATTTGAATATCACTGCAGGTTCCCTTCACCTGGAACCAGCTCCATATCTGGAAGATGCTTAGGAGAGCATCCAAGTTGAAGGAAAAGCAGCTTCTTTTTTGCAACTCGGATGAGATGCACTGATGGAAATCCTGCTAACTTTAGCTGTCCTTCTTCCAATCACCAAACCACCAATACAAACAGAAAGGTTACGTGAATGAAACCTGCAAGACTAAGACTGACTGATATTGGTAGAAAACAGGTTCATTGTCATTGCTACACGCAGCACTCCTCTAAGAACATCCTGCAAAGGGAAGACAAAGGCAGCATGGAGAAGCACGTCCAAGACAGCACAAGGAACACAAAACACTGCAGTAACTCCAAGTCCCAGTCTTTATGTTCATTCAGAGTGCTCCACGGGCTTGTACAGCCTTGGACCTCCACTGCTATATCCCAACGCGTGATTACACGAGCCAGTCGGATTTCGGGTTGTTCAGACTCACCTACGCATACTCCTCACACATCCTCTCACCACACAAACACCACCTAGGTACACTGATGTTAAACCAGAGTCCTTCCCTCTAAGCAGCTGCTTCACAGAGTACTGTACTTATGTTCCAACAGCAGGCACATTCAACAGGTTTACACCTGAAAAGGATCACTTCCCACACTGCAGTTACAGGGCAAGTTTTTGCCTTGTTACAGACACACGTAGTGCTCTGCTCTGAAGGAAGAGTTCAGTAAGGACACAAGCACCATCAGGCAGGAACCAAGGTCCTGCCAATGCTCAGCAGTCTAAGTAGGGTTATTTCCTTCTTGCCATTAACAGCACAGTAACTCTCACACACCACTTCTGAGCATTTGCACCACACAGAGCAAAGCTGTTAGAAAAATGTCTGTCCAGTCTTAAACTTGATTTAAGACTAATATGCACAAGCCTTTTAGAGATTAACTCCCCATCAAATAAGCTACAGTCAAGGAGTCTTCAGACAGTTAATACCTACTATGATGCTATAATCATTTAAGTAAACTAAAGAGAGGGGGGAATTTTCTCCTTCCTAAAGGAAGGGTTAAAATCGCAAGTGACAAATCCCTTGCAGAATAAAATGAAGTGCTGGGGGTGGGAGGGAGGAAAGGCACGATTTGAAGATACAGTTAGAGTAAACAAAGTCTCCAATATCAACATTCAACTATAACACACTGCACTGCAACAATGCCTAATTTAAAGTTTAGTTTGCCTGGTTCAAACCCTTTGGGACAAAAGACACATCGTGCTTTAATGCATCAGTGGCACAGACAGCAGCAGCACGTAAACCAGTGCTCTGGTTCTGGTCTACCAAGGCACGTAGTGAAGAGAGGTTTGTCCTCCAGTATAGCGCTAAATAACCTCCCATCTTGAGGGGTTTATACTTCAGATTTTGAATACAGGAAAGATGCTTTTCCCAGGATTTTACAAAAAGTTATTTTTCTTTCCTGAGGAAACAGAAACGGTAAAAGGAAAAGTATATACACAATCAAATCTAGAAGGAAAAAAGGACTTGCTCATCTCTCATTTCATCTACAGTATGGTTTCAGCTAGGCAAATATTCTCAGCATTCTGCTACGAGTTTTGTTTCATACACACACCACCGTCTGCACTCCTGAACATACCCTGCCAGTATAAACTTTCTGAACTCCTAGAAGTGTAAGCTGAAACAAAGATTTGTTGACTAACAAAACACAACTTGAGAGCTTTACGTTATTTGCATTATGAATACCAGCAACATGCAAGCCCTGCCATGGTGAAAGAGAATTATTGTCAACTTATCAACATTAAGTGTCAGTATCAAAGCCCCTTGGACATTGAGGCTAAGAGCACCAGTGATTTTCTTTTGCTCTCGCTATTCAGAATAACTCTGCATAATCCACCTAGTTTTCAGTTGTGATTCATGAAGAGTTGATTGTGTTACAATGAAACAAAAGCTCAGTACTTGTCTCCAAACAGCAACTTCTCCAGATACAGCCCAGCAATCTATCAGTTTCTGACAGATTCTTGTCCTGCAAACACACGACCTTTGATCACTTATTCCTGCAAGTCTTCCACCAGTTTACCCAGCTACAAACTCACTGATGTCAATGGCAATAGTACTGCTTCCAGATACATTCTGTTAAACAGTTAAGGGGCACCAAATCCATCTGTCTTAGTCCCTTCCAGCAACATACCCTTGTAGAGAAGTCCTACAATTCAGACCCCATCGCTTGCCTTTTTTTTTTTTTTTTGCAAGACGCTTTGCACCTCTTACCAGGCTAAATGTGACACCCATCTTTAAAATGATGCTAAACTAAACTGACACATACAAAAGCACTACTATGGCCTCAAGTTCATTAGTTTTAAAGCTTACAAGGATCATAATTCTACGTTACTAGCAAAATTACAGTGTTGAGCATCAAACATAGGCACACATTAACAAGCCTGCTAGAGAACTTCACAAGGGAAGTCTTACCTATTACATGCTAGGAGCACTACTGCTTTTTGTAGTTACAAGTATGCATAAAGCAATGCCTTTAACTCATTCTAACAGCAAACAGACTTTCATAAATAGTCTAAAACATGTTTGCTGCACTATTTCTATGTCACAGCAGTCATGAGACAAACAATTAAGAGTAATTACCTTTAACTGAAATCCAGTCTCATTCACCATTTCTTTCCATCCACCTTCCTAAAAATACAGGAGAAGAATGCTCAGTTAGAGCGATTTAAGAGTGCCACAGCTTTTGCAAGTCCCTGCATCAGCCCCTTTATCAAAAGGGCTTCTCCAGTAAGCCTGGGTTGTGCCCCATGTCTTTTCAAGAATCTGGGTTAAGAATAATGCATCAGTATGTTGTGCTTATATACTAACCTCCCCCAAAATACTTTCTCCTCTTCAGCACTCAATCACCTCAGTCTGTCAACCATGGGCAGGAGCCACACAGCTTTGTCTAAAGCAGTAGTTCAGCTCTTTAGAAAGAAGGGTAGTTACCATCGATTGCCTACTAGATTATCAGCAGCTCCAAGGACCTTTGCAGCTTGCAGCAGAGCCCCCACAGAGAACACACAAGTGACAACTGTTTACAGTGCACTTGCAGTCACCTCGCTCACGTGCAGTGGTTGGTTGTCCACTGTTCTCAGTTCCCATACGCTGGTTCACCTGTATACTACACTGTGCTATGGTAAACATCTGCTCACACTGCTTTTTGGGAATCTCTCATCGAAGCACAGGAAATAGAAACATCCCATGTCTCCTGAAGGTGAAAACTGCAGACTGCAATGTTTTAGCTGACAACTAGATCACAACTTCTGTGATAACATACTGTACTGGACCACAACACATATGAATGTATCATGATTCTAACCACAAAGCTAAAGAAACCATGGATATCCAAAAAGTGAACTGGAAGTCAGGACTATCTCTGCAGCCAGCAGTATAGCATGGTAACTATTTCAGCCTTAGTCCTAGGGTAGCTGTCCCAATCAACACACATTAAGTTCCCAATATGCTGTTCCAAAGAGGTGGAAATTCTCTCTTACGAGCCTTAATACTAGACTGGAAAAAGAGTCATAAGGTACATTAGAAGGCCAACTGTACAACTGCAGTGGGTTGTTAAACAGCTTTTAGATGGACGAGCCTTTTCCACCTCAAGTTTATTCACGTTGTCTACCCTTCTTCTAGACACAGAACAAGCCATGGGTCAATGGGAGGGAAGAAGAGCAAAAGGACATTCTCTTAAATACAGTCACTAAAGAAAAAAAATGGAAGCACATCACTTTACTATACCTGCGTCAAAAATGAATAAAAGATTTTGTCTTGGCAAAGAACAGGATGTGAAGCCACACGTAACAAGAAGTTTTCCAAACCCATTCTTCTTCTTTCCACAAAATCTGGATCCATGTTATCTGCAGATAGCTTATGCCATACAAAGTCAGCCTATTTAAAGAGAAGAGTGTTAACAGAACATAAATAACAAACAATACAAAGCAAGCTACAGCCTCGGTTTCCTTACCCTTTTTTCTGGCAAAGGTGGAACAACAATATGAGGATAGGTAACTGACAAGTAATTCCTCAACAACTCAAATTCACTGTAGCGTCGCCACAGGGAGTCCACTGGGGCACACTGTCCCTCACTCTGGGACTCAACAGCTCTGAAAGACAAAACAGCAAATTTCAGTATTAGTAAGCTATTGCCTTCTCCCTCATACCATCAATACAATTACAGCAAAGCCCTAAGAATAGTTACCCAGTCATGATTACCTCATAACTCACCCATAATCTAAAGTAACCTTAATTTCATGTCTACATACTTCATTTAAAAATATGTATAATTTCTGCCTGATAGGACTCAAATTTTTTAGGAACACAGGAAAAGTCAACACATTTTCATCACACCTCAAAAAAACAGGTAAGTCACAGTCAAGTAGAGTCACACGAGTGACTTAGTTCACATTACTAGAGAATTAGACATATTTCTCTTGGAACAGTGCTGGGCTTCAAGCCAGCAGTTTCACGAGCAGCCGAAGGAATTTACTATTCAATGGGAAAGTCTTCACTTCAGAGGATGAAAATTGTCTTGCCTGCAACAGCTACAATAGTTAATATAACTTTAAAAATATTAAGAAATTTTGAAGAATATTTTTTTTAAAAATCTAGCAAATTTCAAAGCACTTCCAATTTTTTTGTTTAAAGTGATACCTTTTTTTATATTTAAGGACTAAGGACACATAGTCTAACAAACTAGCTAAAGACAGAATAAGCAGGTACAAAACTGATGCATTTGAAAAATCTGTTGAAAACTTGAAGCCAACATCACCTAGCAAGGTGTTAAAGGATTTTATGTTACTATAAAAGGAGAAATCATGGAATATTATAAGATTGAAAAGTAATGTAAAAACTTCCCAAAAAAAGTCATTCTTCATACAAGACATTTAAAGCAACAGAAATACTTTGCAATATCATAAAATAAGCATCAGGTCAGTAACACTTCTTGCCAGTTAGCATATGCCAGAATAAACAGAGAGAGAGAATCCGACAAGGCACTTAACAGAAACCATTGATATCTAGGTCTACCTTGGTTCTTACATTATGTGATGAATTAGCCTACAAAGCACTGGCATCAACCTACATGAAACAGCATTAACTATGTTACAAGATTATCACAGATTACTTGAGGTTGCAAGGGACCTCTGCACATCTGTAATCCAACTCCATTGCTCAAAGCAGGTTGCTCAGAGCCACATCGAGTTGGGTTTTTGATTATTTCCAAGGGCAGAGACTCTACCACCACACTGGGCAACCCATTCCAACGTTTGACCACCCTCACGGTAAAGAGGTTTTCTTACATTTAAATGGAATTTCCTATATTTGAGTTTGTGGACACTGCCTCTTGTCTTCTCTCCGTGCACCACAGCAAGAGTCTGACCCCATCTGCTTTACCTCCCCCACCAGGTATTGACACACATTGCTAAGATCCCCTGAGCTGTCTCTTCCAGAGGCTGAACAACCCATCTCTCTCCAGCTGTCCCTGCACCTCAGACACGCCAAGACTGTAATCATCTTCATGGCCCTTCGCTGGACTTTTGCTTCAGTATGTCCACATCCTTCTTGTACTGGGGAGCCCAGAACTGGGCACAGTAAGTCATGAACTACAAGTACTTACTCATATGGTACTCAGTTGAACAGGGTACTAGATTTCTTCCAGCAGAATTCAGGCTGTACAGTTCTTGAATTCGTAAGACCTTTGTCAGTAAAGTTTTAAAAACGTCTAAATAACACACAAGTTACTGGTTTTTTAAGCTATTCTTAACCTACAAGGTTGGATTTCTAACAACCTTATTGAAAAACAATCCTGCTCCATAGCAGTCAAAATTATTTTACACACTTAAACAAAACATAAAAAGCCTTTGTCATGCATTTCTGCACTTTCATTAGATAGGAACAGCCTTGCTATATCCTCTTGTTTAAAAAAAAATAAAAACAACAAAAAACATGGTTACATCTTGAGGCTAAAGTAATATAATAGAGAATTGTGCAAAAAAAAATTTTTTTTTTAAATGAGTAAGGTATACACCTCTCCTTGCCTTATGGAAAAGGCATTAATTCCAGGTAACTGAATTTGGAGGAAAAAAATTCACAACAAGGAATAAACAATTATTTATTCTTAAGTATTCAACACAAACTTCTGCAGATTAAACTCTTTGAAACTGACTTCAGAGAAAAAGGCAACCACACTGCTGACAGCCACTAAATTGCACTGCAAACATCCCACAGAATTGTTCCCCATCAGTGTGTTTCGATTCAACAAAGTTGCAACTGCAACCCCGGAGTTTTGAAGACGGTAAGCACAGCTTTGCGCTGGGCTGACAGGCTGAGCAGCATTCCTCCCTACACAAGCACTGAACAATTCAAACATATCAAGAACACTTCGGCTAAATTCAAGTATCTAGTTATTGTACTATTGCTGAGTTGGAGGTAAATTTAAATAGCTAAAGAATTAAGCTACGATGTCCTGGAAGATTAGTTGTTTGGTTGAAATGTGAAGGCACAAACCTGACCTTCCTGAAGGAGAAACTCCCAGCAGGGTTTGGTAAACAATCTGGCCATTCAAGACACTCACATAAGAGTACTTCAGAATTGGCATCCTTTTAGTCTCCAGCTTCAGCAGGTATCAACCAGTTGCACTGACTTACACCACGGCTGCCAAGAGCACTACTTCTGCATGGGTTATTATCAACCCTTAAGCAAGACTGCCACCATCAATGCATCACAGGATTATGTGGACCCTGTCTGAGAACATACTGCACAAGCAAACGTGAACAGGGAAACAAAAAAAACTGGCCAAGCGTGCCCTAGGAACCCAGCCACATCCCTGGAGCACCTATCTGTGCTGCAGATACAGGTG